CCATATCTCCAATCACTACCTTGTTCTGAGCATCCCCTGTCCATTTGTGGCCGTGCATGCTGAAATGCAAGCTGCCACACCATGCTGCTGTGATTCATCATCTCATGCTCCATTGCCTCTAAAGCTGCTTTGAAATCTTCTGGCTGTTGTTAAAATCTCTGGTTGCAGAATTTCAAAGTTTTTTTGTTTTGTTTTGTTTTGTTTGGTTTGTTTTTTTACAGAAGAGAAGCAAATGTTTTTCTCTTCCTCCATATTTCTATCAGTGGTTAGTGAAGCAAAGCACTTCAAAACTGGCATATGTTCCAGTTGCAATTCTAGTGGATAATTCATAGAGAGGTGAATAAAGACATAGCAGGAAACTGCTTGTTACCAGTTCTACTCTGATGGCTCCTGCTCCAGATTCTGCTCCTCTTGAGTAACTTTTTTCTCTGCCAGGTTTGTTTTTTTGTTTTTTTTTGCTTTTCCTTGCTGATATTTAAGAGTCTGAAGTTATGGTCTTCTCCTTGGCATTAATAAAATCCATTCTTACTTCCATTTTAAACACTTTGAAGTGTTCAGCACAGCTTTTGTTAGAGGAACAGGTCTCTGACTTAATATGCAGGAAAACCTTTATGTGACTTTGGTGAGCAGTTGGGGAATGCTTTCCCAGAATTTCCTGTTCATAACTGCTTGCAGAACAGCACCAGTTTTTCTGGGTCAATATTCTGATTGTATCCACCTTCAGCAAGAAATAACAGCTAAAATGAGTTTCTTTTTTCAATGATAAAATTTAGGAAGGCAAAAAATATGTCAGTGACTTTGTGTGGTGTAGCAGGTGGGTCTAGCAGAGGTTAAATGGGATGTGTAGGCTTAATTGAAGGTTGGTTTTTTGAGTTAGAAGAGTCTGTTTTAAAAATGGACATGGGGACAGCATTGCAAGCTGCTGTAGATGAAGATTTAATCAAATAGCTGTGATGAGCAGTGGTGGTGTGAGTTCAGTACCCAGAGCCTTCCTGTTGTAGGTGCTGCACAGATCTTTGCAGCCTCTGTCTTTGGTTAGATGAAAGCCAGAAAAGCCATGGATAACCTGATTTTTCAGAGAAATAGATCATTGTGACTGACTGCAGGACAAGCAGTGGGAGCTAACAGCTGTTGAATGCTACCAACAAAGGTGGAGGGAAGCTGGGTACGAGTTCAAAGCACAAATAACATAAATGTCTGTGACATGTAGTTTATACATCTTTGGGTTTGTCATGCTTAATACAGGATCAAGTGCTGACAAAGGACAGTGCAGGATGTGCACTGGGAATGAATAAATGTAAGAATGCCTTTTTCCCAGGAATGCATTGCACTAACTGTTCACTTCAGGAACTGAGTGACAAAACCATCTCATTTGACCAAACACACACTATTCTGTCTTTTATGCTCTAATTTATTCCCATCACGAGCTGTGAAGTCCTGCTTGGAGTGTCTATTTTCAGCATAAAACTGTTTGTCAAATTTCTATTAAGCTTAAGGTGAAAAATTAATGAGCCATTCACTTCAGATATTTCAAAACTAATACAGCTGTATTATTAATGCAGGAGAAAGTCAAAGACGTGGGTACCTACAATTATTGCTTAGTGTTCACTCACACTACTTTTTGCTCTCTGTATTTTTGGGGGGAAATCATTAAAACAGTGTTTTAGGTCACAGAAGGAGTTATTTTGATGAATTCTGTCAGTAAGCTTTTTAGACAGTTTTACTTGTTAACTTTTTGTTTTATCTGATCCTGGCAGAAGGTGCCTTGAATAAACACATATTGATGAAATACAATGTTCTTTCCAATCTTTCTTTGAATCTGGAATTTAAACAAAAATGAACAGAAAGGTGATTCATATAACACAAAACTTAGAGAAATGCAAATAAAAGACTATTCACATAGTACTGAGGAAGCTGTTGGTGAAGCAATATTTTTGGGCTAGAGAAGTATGACATTGGGACTAAAACTCTGGTTTTTCAGTCTTCAGAAAGTCATTGACATGAAGATAAAATTGTACTTTTGCTCAGAAGTGAGTCGGGTATAGTGGACAGGTGTTATTAAATTGGTGTTATTTATTAAATATAAATTTAATAATTCAGAAATCCCAGAGCATGTTGTCATTACCAGTAAATTAAGTGATGGAGCACTGTGAAATGCTGGGCTGGGGGAGTGTCCCAGGCTGAGCACTGTGGAAACTGGTGCTCAAGGTTTGTGCTTGCATTGAAAAAGAAAACACAAAATAGAGTCATTGCAGAAGTAGAAATTCAGGCCTTGCTTTCTGTGCAGAATCTTTCTAAAGTTTGCCTCTTTTTTTTTGCTCCTAAAATTAACTTAATAATTGATTAATGTATTTTCCTCCTCACTTTACAGTAAGTTCTCCAGGGACTTTCTGGTATTAATAGTGGTTCTAGGCCTGGCTCAGTTACATTGTTAGACTTGCAGAGAAGAAGGAATTCTGCTTCTTGGAAGAGTTTCATGTTACAAAACTAAATTTCATTAGAAGCAAAATGGCAAATTTAAATTATCCTTCAAGCATTTGTTGTTCCCACAGAATCTGAAAGTTCTCTGTGCTCTGAAGGGTTTGGCTTCCAGCAGAGCAAGTGCCAGCAAGAATCCCCAAGTTCTTGCAGTGTGTTGGTTTCTTTCTGAAGTTACACTGCTCTGTTTCACTCTCACTCCAGCACCAAGCCCACGAGTATTTTAAACCTGAATGATTAGGCTTTAAGTAGCAGCCCTGGAAATCTCCAGGTTTTTAAATGTGCCCTGGAGAGATTGGTCTTGGATGGTTCACTTTTGAAATCTGGTCATGATGCACAGTGCTTTCCTCAGCCTCCTTAACAAGTGGCAATTAATAAATGCCTGGAAGAGAGAAGGGAACTTTGTTTTTTTGTTTTTTTAATTTTTTAAAATTTTTTTTAAAGCATTTTTTAGTATTAATTCCAGTAGTGTTTTTCTCTCTGGTAGGAGTTCATCAAGTTTAGTTACTAGAGAATTTTATAGAATTTAGGTCTGGCAAAGATGTCAGGAGGTCATCTAATGTAGCACCTTCCCTCAGGGAGGGCATCAGCCATATCTGCATCATTCCTGACAGATGTTTGCTCACACTTTTCTCTAAAAACATTTCAGTTTAAGAGATTTCATCACCTGCCTAGGCAAGTCTTTATGAATTCCTCCTATTAGAAAGTTTTTCTTCCAGATAAATCTGCCCAGATAATTTAAATCAGCCTTTTTATATAGATTCTTTTTTCTTTTTCTCCCATACTTCAAACTCCATCTTCTATCGTGAAATGATTAATTTTTAAATATGGAGGGGTTTCTCCTGTAAGTTGTTCTTGAAAGTGTATCTTTCACAGGTTATGCAGGTGTGAAGCTCAAGTTGTAACTGGAGAAAGGAGAGATTTTTCTCATCTGAAATGTTTTGAGCTTCATTGCCCCTGTAATACAGGCTGAAAATTGACAAACACTGGAAAGAAAATAATGTCTCAATTGCACATCTCTGATGGACTTTTTGGGATTCTTTTTGAGTGCAGAAACAGACTCTCAGAGCTTGACCAAACTGATTTTGCTGTCACTTCACTGATGTGACAACTTTAAGAGATTTTGAACCCAGACCAAGTTTGATGAGACAAAGGTTTTTTGTTTGTTTTTTTTTTTAATTGTATTTTGAACCAGCTTTACCTTTCCACCTAAAAATTTGTCTGATTCTTTCAAACTGAGCACTGATCACCTTGCCATTGAGTATTAAAGGTGAACGATACCATTTGTTTTTCCGTAATGAAATGATACAGCTTTGGTCAATTTTTTCATGAGGATTATAGGTGTACTATAAAAAGTTTCATGAGTTTCTAGAACAAAAAAAAAAAAAAAAAAAGTGGATGTGTCTAGATTTCTTTTCTTTTTCTTTATACTGTGTTTCAGTAGTAGTTTCATAGAAATTTACTTGAAACATGCTGCTGATTGCTGATAGCCTCCTCCCCCTGTGCCTGCAGGCACACAGAATGTACAGGATGCTTTTGGGTCGTAAAGAACTCGAGGTTGACAGGAAATGCAGTGTTTGTTTCACAGAGGTCTTGGGGAGAGGCCTTGTGTTCTGAATCTCTGGTTGAAGGTCTGGACACGATTCAGCAGGGGCAGGGACATGGTGAGGCTGTCGCAGGTTGTGTCAGAGATATCAACCTCCCCTCCCTTTCTGTATGGGCTTTTCATCTGCCAGAAGAGTTCCTGCTTTCCATGGCAAGAGATGATCCCCATAGACATCTGAAATAACTGAAAACAGCTGTTTTTTCCTGAAGTGTTTCAGAGCATTTGTGCGTGCAAAGTTGGGTTGTTTTTTTTATTTTTCCCCGCAGTTCTGTCAGTGTGTCTCCCAAAATATCTCATTATCTCATCAGAAACCTTTCCATGATCAAGTGTTAGACAGGCAGGTGTATGCAAACTCACTTTTTTTCAGTAAAAGGGAGATTTAAATACTTTGCATGAAACTGCTGATATTGAGAGGTTTCTGCTATGTCTGTTTAAGATGTTTCAGCTGTAATGAAGTGTTCTGATGTTTTCTGATCCATACCTTTCTCCACTCAATGTGTCTGTTTAGTACCTTCTTATTCCAGACCTCCTTCACTTGTTCAGTTTTTACTTGAATTTGAAATTTATTGCTGGCCAGTACTTCCATATTTCAGTGATTCCTTTAACTACACACCAGTTTAATTTTTTGTGTTTAATTCACAGTCTAATATCTGCTCAGACTCATTTAACAGTTTCTTTCTTGTGAAATTATTGCCCAGATACCATAATATGTACATGCAATTTTGTAGTACCTGTTCTTGAAGAAGCTTTTAATTTTTTTTTTTTTTCAGTATTATAAAGCACAAAACAACAGCTGCTTATCTAAATCAGTTGTTTTAACTTGTGTGGGAGAGATTTGCATTTTTGTGTTTGGTTTCTGAAGGAGAAAAATCTAATTTTCATTTACTAAATTGCTCTTCCCTTTCTGTCATTGAAGATGGAAGCTACAGGCAGAATCGACTGAACCTCACAGCGCTCTTGGTACAACCAATTTCTGCACTGCTTGCCAGAAAACTTGTTTCCCTACCTGAGGACACTGCCCAAAGGGACAGGTGTACACCCCTGCACCTGCCAGCTGCAGGTAATGTTTTCAAATCCATTTCACCTTTGGGATGTTCCTCTCAGACTCCAAATCCTATATACCATTAGCTATACCATTAAGGTTTAGCTGATTATGGGTGTGTTTTGATTAGATGCTTTCTAGAAGAGGCTATGGACAGTCCAAAGATTATGCTCCTAAAATCTGATAGATGGAAGTTGTGGTTTAAAAAAAAAAATAGTAGAAGGCATTGAGCACTAATTCTTAATATTGACTTAGAACCTCTATGTGGATGCCATCTCTAGGGAGGTTTGTTAGTGCTGCAGCTTGGTTTGTTAGGCCTTATTGTACTCCTAATAATATGATTTTAACATTAAGACATCAGTAGCTATAGTATTCTCTGGGTTATTTTTCTGTTTCTGGAATAATAACACTTAAATTCTAAATATGTTCCTTAATTTGTACATGCTATAGAGCAAACAGTGTATTGTTACCTGAACCCTCAGGCAGCTTTTTCTCCCAATTTTCACCAGGAAAACATGCATCATGATAAGAACAAAATACCTTGAGTAGAGCCAGATGAATGCATTCATAGTATCTTCACAGAAATAATGCCATTAGCAAAGTCAAACAGATTATTGCTTGAAAAAACTTATTGCTGATATAGGAAGGGGAAAAAAAGTAAGAGTGCAGTCTTCCAGCACAGTGTTTCACCAGAAGAACATCTTCCAGAGAACATTCTAGGTGAGGGGAATGTTTAAACAGTAATTCTTCAGTAAAAAGTCTTCAGTTTTGTTTTTTAGCTCTCCATCTTTCACCATAAAAAAAAAAAAAAAGATTTCATTATAAGCCCCATTTAAATGAATTGATTTGAAACTGTGGTCTTGGAAAGGAGGAGGCAAATTAATTTAGCCACTGTATCCTGTGCTACACACAGTGATGATAACAGTAAAAACAAATTTTAAGGGCAACCAATGTAGTATCATGTGCTGTATCCCTTGTTTATTGCTTTTGGAAAGTTATTGTGGAATAGGAGGGCAATACAACAAGTCATAAAAAAGGTTGATTAATTTTATGACTTGTGTTAGCATTTGTAGTTATACATACCAAAAAAGAAAGCAGAAGACCTCATGTTTCATGGCTTAAGCTGTTGTGGTTAGGCAGGACAATTGTTCTCCACGCATGGCTGACTGGATTTTTAAATAATGAACTTTTAATTTTAAAAATTATTGTCCTCACAACCAGTAGAAAAGGGGAAAAGGCCATTTTGGAAGGAACAAGGGCTTAACCATTCCAGGTAGGCTGCATGAAGCTTGTTAGTATTGAAGGATTTTCCAACAGCTGAAGTGCCTGGAGCAAAGCCTGGATTTGGGCTGGAAAATGACACTCATTTTAGAAAGATAAAAGGCTGCACAACGTCTGTTTCTCAAAAAGCTTTGTCTGGAGGCTGCAGGGCAGAATCACCCTAAAGGGCAGCTTATTCTACTTTTTCTGTGACAGGTGTGGCATGTCTGTTTCATTTCCCTGAGAAGACAGGAATTCTGTGAGAGGAGAATTTCTGGAAAGAAAGAATATTCCAAGCCAGCAGCCCAGTGAGAGCCAGTCCGTGTCTGGTTTACTCTGGGTGAACACAACTGCTTGTCTGTGATTTCATGTTAAGCTTCTGAACCACAGTAATCCTTGGGGGATTTTTTAAAAAAGTCTTAATTTATTGAGAGAATAGGGACTGAGAAGAAGCCTTGTATAATTCTGTAATATGTTATGATATATTTTTTCTGGTAATTAATGGTGAAGCTGTTGATGTTCTGGAGCACAGAGTGTGCTGTTGTTCAGCAGCAGCCTTAATGGAGGAGATAAAAGCCTGGTCTCATGATAAGAAATGGTGTAGAACTATTTAATACTAGTAATAGCTAAAGAGATAATGCTGAGGACAGCAATGCATTAGAGAGGAGCAAAGGTTGAATTTGCAGTCTTCCTGTTGATTTGAAGAAGCTTAAGAGAGAGATTTCACTTCTGACGTGGGACTCATCATTTATCTGTCAAAAGAGGTGAATGAGCAATTCAGATGATTGGTTGGCTTGAATTTGTTAGGATAAAATGATCATCATTCTCTCATCATTATGTTTCAAAAAGCTGAACAGCAGATTCATCAGTAATGATTAAACATTTATATATAGTTTTCTCACATTGCTGCTTTTTTTCCCTTAGCCTTGCAGTTTTCAAGAGACAAAATGTGACAGAGGGAGTGGGAGGATGGAGGCAAACATCCCTCACAGATTGAGTGCTCAGGACCTAAAAGCAAATAGTGGGAATTGAAGTCAGCTGTTAATTTGGTGTTAGATGAAGTCAGTAATTAGATTTGCTTTTTGTTTGGTATGGTACATTATTGTTAATCCTCATTAATCTGAAATTCTGTGCTCCCATGAACTTTTCCCAAAGATAGGCAATTAGAAGGAATTTCAGAGTGAACTTCTATAGAGAAACTGTAAACTTTTGAAGCTTCCTTTTTTTTTTTTTTTTTTTTTACAAAATCTCACTAGGATATTTGCTAGAACATTGTGAAGGTTGTTGTTGTAAAACTAAAGCACTCCTATAAACATAAATGAGGGAAGTCTTGCTGTGTACAGTGAACTGCCTTTGTTGCTGTTAAGTTTCCCACTATTTGGGAGATTGCCCTAATGTACAAATTACCCTTTTTCAATTAAACTCTTGAGCATTTAATGTAAATCTATCTAATGGCAATTAATATACAAAGTGGTTTTTGACACTAATGATCATATACTTTAGTTTGAATGGAAATCCTGGAAGCCTGCTGTTTAAACACATCACAGAGTTATGTGTGTAATTTTCCCCCTTGGTTTTAAGTGTCAGTTTTCATACTCAACCTGATTAATGTCTGAGAAGAGAGAAGGTGAGAAAGATCCAGGATTTCGGTAGTGATCAGTCTCCAGGTGTCTGGGGCATCCTCCTGCTCTGTGGCTCATCCTATTTTTCCATTCTTCTCCACATTTATGTTGCTGTCACTCGTGGAGATAAGGACTGGGTGGTCACTTGGTGTGACCTGGTATGGCAGCTGAATTGGCAGGAAGTGTAAATGCAAGTGATCTCACTTAAACACCCCACTTCTTACCACCTGCTAATGCCTTTTCCTGTGCAATAGGTGTAATTTTTTTATACTTTAACTTCTAAAATTACAAAGGCAAGGCATGAATAGTTTAAGTAACTTGAATGATATCAAACACTGTGTGAATAATCGAGCCGGGTACACAAAGACTCCCAGCATTCTGCTGCAGACAGTAAAATTACTCAGATCAAAATGCTTTTCTAGGTAGAATCTTTTGATCTTTTGTAACCTTTTTTTAGTCTACAAAATACAGTCACTGATCAATAGTGAATCATCACAGTGACTGCAGTGCAGAGCTCTGCTGTAGGCTGCAAACAAATCTACCTCCTCTGACAAAATGGGTGAGTGGAGCAGATAACCAGAACTGACTGGTACTAGAAAGGTTTGCAGCGCAACACAGTGAATTTTTATGAGACTTTGAACATCTATTTTATGTAGTTCCACGTGTCAGATGTTCATTATACTGAGTTTATAGTCAACTCTGATCATGTGAAATTTGAATCATTAATTATACAAAAGGAATAATTGGAAGAGTCTGTTACTTTCCATATTATACGATTCTCATCCAAGATAAATAAAATTCTCTGCCAAGTGCTGCACTAGTGCAAATCAAGCCTGTCTTCTTTTCAGTCAGAGGAAGGGCATGGAGTAATAAAGTGAATATCTCCTCCTGTTAAACTACAGCCTTGTGATAATATTATATGTGTTTCTCCTTGGTAGTTTGCTACCTGTCAGAGAAAATAAAGACTCCCATATTTAATAAACTCTGGCTGGGCCATCTCACACTCTGATATCAATATGCAAACAATACCATGATTTCTGGGTATTTGGACTATGCTAAACATGAATCCAAGGGAGCAAATAGAGAGAGATGCCAGCAGATTGTGTGGCAGTGCATGTTACTGTATCTATCAAATCTGGAGTCATTGTACATAACAGTAGAAATATAACAAAGTTCTGCAGATGTCTCTTACTGGCATTTGAAAGAGGAACAAGTTAAATTGGGAGCTCTGATCTATATGAAAACTTACAGACATTTATACCAATACTCTCAGATTTTCTTTTCATGATCACTTTAAATTCCATTCCTTTTTTAAACAGAAGTTCATGAGAAGAATTAAGCATGAACAGTGTGAAGCATTTTTTATATATCTTCCCTCTAACTCCCAGCTGAAGCCTAGAGAGTTTTTCTACCAGAATTGTAAATGATCAAGATATGTTTTCAGAATTCTGTCCTGCACCAGTGTTTTCCTGTGTGATGCTTTGCTTTTGATTGCTATAAAGCAGGTAAAGAATGAAAGTAGTGTGAGGTTATGAAATTCAACTTTACCATCAGAAGCATTTTCATCTCTCTTTGATGTTGACTGTGACACATTTATTCTGTATCACATTAGGCCATCCTAGTTTAGAGCCTCCTTAAAGGACTTTATTCTAGGCATTTCTTATTTCAAAAACTCTTCATCTGAAGAGTTTTATTTCTGGATTCCTCCTTGTAGGTCAAAAAAGATGATGATCAAATACCAAGGAGTTTATTCATTAAGCTCTTCATACTAAGATTAGACTTGGAGACTCAAGATCTGTGAATATTTGTTCAAAAAGGAGAATATGTTGTCAGTAGGTAACATAGTTGATTAATCAAATAGATATCTATTAAGGAAAAATATTAGAGATATCAGATTTAGATGATGTATTATTTATACACAAAAAAAGTGAAGGCTTTTCATTACAAGGACATCTGGCTAGGAGTTCTGACACATTCCTGTGCAAATAGTTTTATACCTCAACAATACTGCACATTGCATAGATTCAGTATTGATTTTTGCATATGTAATTTTATAGTATCACACAATATTTTTCTGAGATAATATACATTATTAAGTATATACTATTTTATATTTATTCACTTTTCTATGTATGCCATGTTGCATGTAGTGTTTTTTTTAAGTGCTGCTGTTACATAAATGTGTGTGATGATTATATTTCTTTACTTAAAGTTCTGTGTTTGAACATGAAAACTGAGATAAAATACAGAGTAAATAAGGTTTTGCACTCAAATTGACATGGTGATCTGTCAAGTGCAGTTTTATGCTGATTACTTCAGCTCAGTTGGTGTCCCCCAAGTCATGTGAGCATGGGTGTCTGATGATGTTTGAAATCTCGAGTTAATTTGTGATTTCAGACAGATTCACATTTATTCAGGTGTTGATTTCAACAGGAACTATCTCAAAAACTGCCTTACTGCATTACTTGAAGGTATTTAATGTACTTTATTTCAGCAGTCTCCTGAAATAGCTTTGGGTTTTATGATCCAGGAGTTATTCTGTTGAAATCCTTAAATTCAGTTAATACTTGATTTTTCTATACTTCAGTTAAGTGTGCATGTAGAAGAATTTTTTCAGTGATTAGCAAAAATCTTGTCAAATGAGTTCAGTTTTTAAACCTGAATTCCTAAAGATGCTTTTTAAAATCCAGTACTTAAATGCTCAGAAAACTGTCTGATGATGGGTGTTTAGCATGATCAGGATTCAAGAATTTAACCAACATGTTTGAAAATGAGACTCAAGCTTATACTCTATGCATGAGCTTGGGATAAAGTTAAAAGCAAAAAAATTAAAAAATTAAAAAATTAAACAAGCCTAACTTAGGTTCTTTTAACATAACTACTGCAGATAGGTTTTTCACATCTGAAGTAATTTTCTAAAATTTTCTATCAAATGAGAGGAAAAATAGTTATTTTTTAGAAATCCATGGCTATGTAAATGTCAGAGGAGAAGGTAGTCATTTGGTATGAGACAATTTAAAAGTTCCAGGTCAGGAAAGAAATAAATTTTTAAAAAGTAACAGTAAATATGTTTGTGTTCTTCTATCCCAGAAGTCGCTTTTAGCTTACATAAAGACAGTGTATCCTGAATAATGTTAAGGTAAAGTCTCCTCATAGCTTCCCAGGGAATATAGAAAAAAAAAAAAAAAAAAAAAAGGAGTTGTCAAGATCCTTAAAATACAGTGTTAGGACAAGAGGTTTGTTGTCAGAACTATTTAGAGGGGATTAAATTTTGTTTCTGCTGTATACTCCAAAGAGCAGTTTCAGCCTTTTCATCTGGTGCTCTAAGCCTTTAAGCCCAAGTCACTCTAAGCTGACTACTGTGTAACATGACTATTAACTCGAGTATCTGATTGGAGAATGTGGGTATTGCCAGAAGTTAATTTTCTGTGTCTTTATTGTCAGCTAGAGACTGGATAGCTGATGTTGATTAAGGAAAAACAGTGAAGTCAGTTGTCTTCAAAAGGATTTATCGTCTTTTTGTCTGAGAAGGGGCCTAAAGGAACAAACATCCAAAGTGTTGTAGGAAGAGGAAAGGAAATCAGTTTTGACTTTAAAATATCTTTTTTTTTAAGAAGAGTAAATTGGCTCTAGAAGGGTTGTAGGTGAGAAAGAGCAGCAAGAAGTAACTTGCATAATTAAAGTTAAATTTAAGCTGCTTATTTAACTTAGATGGCTTGAGCTGTTTTCACTTGTTTTAAAATCCTTTGGGAATCCTTTGGACTATTTTTTAAATTATTTTTTTAAAATTCTAAAATAATATCTGTGGTTTTATTGAACAAACAATTCATTTACATGGCATTAATAAAATTTTAAAAATATAGTAACTTACGTCAGAAGAGCAAAGTTAATTACGTGGCAAATAAAATTATTAACATGCTGTGACTGATTGTTGCAAAGTCATGTGCCAGGGTTATTTTTAATTAACTGCTTGGTTTACATTTACACTGGTTTGTTCAAGCAAAACCAGAATTGTCATAGAGAAGACACATGTGCTGATAACTGAAGAGATTTTTTTCTGAATAAAAAATAGAATAACTATTGCTAATTCATTTTTTAAACAAACACCAGCAGTTCACTTGCTTTTTTTGAAAAATACCAATGAAGGTGAGTGAATTAAAATATATTGTATTTTATTTTAAGAACATTTTAAAGTAAATTTACTGTATGAACCAGCAAATGAACCCTGAAGAGCAGTAACCATGTGTTGTTTCTGTTTCACATGTTGCAGGAAACGCCCCACTCGCATATTCTGTGCACCTCAGGAAACAAAGCCTGGGAAGAATCTGTTAGAAATAGATCCATGGGAGGATAATGGCTGGGACATAGAGAGCAGAATGATCTGTGGAGTATTTTAACTGTGGTCTGTGGCAGTTGGGATGTGGACATGGGGGGAATTGTGTCCCAGAGATGCTTCAGGCTCAGTTCTGCCGCAGGGGTGGAGCATCCATGGGTGGAGGAGAATCCCCATGGGTCTGGGCTCAGCCACTGCTCATTGGCACACTGCTGCTGCTTTTTCAGTTCAAGCAGTTTAAACATTTTCATTTCTCTTGGATAGAAGTTGTAGACTTTTCAGATGAGCTGGATGTTAGCACATTCTGTTTTCATACTTGGAAGGTGTCAGCAGCTCCCCATGGTTGGTTGGTTGGTTTCCACTGTCACAAACTGCAGGAACTCCTGTGGTTACCGTGTCCCACCTTCTTTTAATCTATTTAAACTCAGATATTTGCTCTACTCTGGCTTTATTCTGTGCTACAGTCTCAAATGGCATGGCAGTACTGGCAAGTTCCTGACATTTTAGCAGCTTTTGAAATTGTTCTGCCTTTGTATTTGCACCATTTCTTCATCTGATGCCAGCTAGGCCAAAAACCCTGGCTTCTGTTGGCACATGTTCACAAGAGCATCACCAAAGGCTGTGCTGGCAAAGCTGTGGGGAGCTCTGACTGCTCCCACCTGATTTAACACAGGGGCTTTTCTCCACAAGAAAATATAATATAAACCAGGTATAATTTCATGAATGTTATTGATAGATTGACCTAGGTGAAGGATTATGTGAGAAAAACCTATGAAGTTTAAGGCATATTTTGTTATCACAGAGTTATGTAAATCCTACTCTTATAAATTTTCTTTTTCTGTTGTATTCTGGCAGCATTTGTTGAGTGAATTCAATGATCTTTTAACTCAAAGAGTAGAGATATCTTTTGAGATTCCATCTTTGAATCATGCTGCTAAAATAGGTCTAAGAAGATAATGTCATATTTTGTGTTTTAATCTGTGGTTCCTATTCAGTTTTTTTTAACCTTATTTTAAATTCTTTTTTTTAATGTATGTGGAATTTATGTCTTCAGCCCATACGTTTCTGGGCTGGGTAAATAAGTTAAACATTTTCTTTCTTTTTTCATCTTTTAACAGGCAAAAAAACAATCAGTCTGAACATTCAGTCTGTCACAACTTACAAGACAATTTCTAATGTCATTGGATATCTAAAAGGAGCTGTATTTCCTGGTAGGTATCCCTTTGCCATTTGCATTGATTATTTGTTTCACAATAGGTGGGAGTCATAGCTGGGATCAGGATCCTATTTTGCCAGATAAATCACTAATACAGAGGAGAGAAGACGACTTTTTTGTACTCATTTTGTGATTTGTGACAAGACAGAATATGAGGGTTAAACAGAGGATGAGCTGAAGGGGATATTGTAGTTACAAAAAGCATATTTTTACACGAGCAGCAGGTGTTGCACATGGAGCACAGAGAGTATCAGTAGTTTGTACAAGCAGCTGTTTAATGGCTTTAATTTTAATATGGTTTTAACACTTGCTGCAGCCTTATTTTCTGTCTCAATCATGCCTTAAGCTAGTTTTATGCAATGCTATGAATAATAATTACTGTTCTCTATGTGTGATGGTTGAACAATGGAACTCTAAATGCAACTGGGACATACATAAAGCACAACCTCGCTCTGTCCTTTGATGCTGTACAGAAATAATGTTATCATCAGGATATCATGAGATCATTTGGAGATTATTTTGTTAGTTAGTGAATTTACCTAAAAGGTGAAGGTTTTCTGCAACATGAATGAATGCTGTTGCTGGTTACTTAAACTGTGCAAACAATTCCTAGTGTGCAGATGATTATCAAAACATCATGTTTGCCTTAATTCTCTTATATTAGGTTGTGAAGAAAAGATGGAAATTTATTTACAGTCCCTTAGGGGGTAGGCCAGTCATTTCATATCTTTAGTAATGGAATGAAGGAGGTGGAGAAATTTTATTCCTGTTGGTGAAATAACAATTCAGTTTTGTGCATGCAGAACTGTATGCTTCTCACCAGACTTTTGGCTTGTTTAAAGCAACAGAGGAAACAATTAGCAAAGAATTTAGTTTCTGTGAAGGATTTAATTTCCTTCATGAATTTGAAGTTACCAGTCTGCTATTATTAATGTTTTGCAAATAGCTGTCATGGAGTTGGAAAGGCAGAAACTGCCATGTTTAGACATTCTGTCTTCTGAATTTGTGAAACAGAGGCAAGAAAAAGAATAAAAAGTGTGCTTCAGTTTCTGTTTAACAAGTCTTCTATCTCCTCTATACCAGAACCTTTCATCTTATTATTACATTTTTAATCAAAACTACTTTTTGGAGGTTGGCCAATATGTGCTGAACTTTAGGTATCCAAGGAGATATAAAAAAAGTGAAGTCAGTAGCAGTGCCTGGATGGCAGCAGCTTGTCCCATGGATGTCTGGCTCAACAAGAGCCATAAGAAGTGTCTTCTAGTGAAGGCACAAGTTAAATGTCTAATGCTCTGTAATATTTTGTACACAATCAATGTTAAACCTTTTTTTCTTTCTCTGCTCCTCCTGGTTGACACTACAGTCATTCCTCCTCAACTGCTTTGAATCTTGATATTTTCATGGCATTGATTCTCTGTCATTTTGATGGGGTTTTGCTCGTTTCATACACATGAAATATTCACCTTTATGTTCACAGACGTGCAGAAAGAAGGCAAAATTTATCTTTAGTGCTTAATGAAAGACTGCAGAGCATCACCAAGGGTAGAATTTATTACTTTTTGCTTAAAGACCACCAAACACACACATAGAGACAAGCACATCTCTGTGATGCTGACATTAGCTGGCATTTGATCTGAGGAGTAAGAACGAGCATCTGAAGTGTAAGATGTTAAAATCATTAGGAGTAGATGAAATGTGATAGTTGGTAACATTTTAAAAACCAAAAAATGTAACAACACTGATTTTATAGCTCTCTTGGACATGGTTGAAGATGGGATGTATAACAAGAAAAGCCAGGATAAAGAAACTCTTTTTAATGATAAATCCCTGTTGTCCAGCCCATCACTAACCTGAACACTATCCTCTCTTATCAGCTTCAGGGGTATCTGATGGGTATTTTTTCCTCTATCTCCAGTTCTTTCTCTTCTTTTCATTTTTGCCATGTGATTCTGAGAAAGGACAGCTGCAGCCTCTGCAAGCATGACCATCCTTTCTCCTCTGCTTTTCCTGCAGTCATTTGCTTTAGGGCTCTGCCTCTATCTGAGGGAGAGATGTGCAAAGATGAACAATTTCAAAGGAGGCACCAGCTGCTATGTTTTGCTCCTGCTCATTCAGCTGGCATCTCCAGCAGCAAGTTGATGCTTCCTTCTCAATCAAAATATCCTGTATTATTCTAATAAAGTGTCTCTCCTCTCACATGGTCTGTTCACAGGCTAAACAGAAATTATTACACAGGAAAGCATTGATCCTGCCTGATCCCCCTGTGTTAGTGGCACTTCCATTAATGACCTAGAGGCGTGTAAGGCCGTTCATTTTGGTTCCTAATTCCTGTTATTTAATGAGTTGAAAATCCTATGTTTTTTTCATTGTCAATGCAACCTATAATTAAGCATATCCTGGTGCAACACACAAGATGCAAAATTATATGATTTAGATTTCATTTTGTTACATTAAATTATTATGTAAATCTAGGTTGACACTTTGCATATCTGTTTTTAGAAAGAAATTCTCATTTCCATACCTACACACCCCTAAAGTTGATTGAAAATATTGTATTACGGGTACATTAAAAATCATCTCTTTGTAAAGCATTTTTGATTCCTTATCAAACAACATGTTCAAATATTTTGTTGAACAATGCTGGTAAACTCCAGTTTGATAGAGAATGCTTTTTTAATCAAAGTGTTCTATTAATATTCTTCCCAGGCAGCAGCCACTGCAAAACATACTGAGTAGATATTTTAATTTTATAAGCAAATACAAGATGTGGGCAATGTGCAGCAATCTGTTGCTGCATTGTGATCAACTGACAGCAGGTGAATGAGTTCACTTGGTTAAAGAAAGAAAAAGAAAACTTTTCCACTTTTTGGAACCCAAATGACACTCAGGGGTTGCTGTGGGTCTGGCACCACTGTTCCTCACTGCTGATAACTGTTCTCATGTTTTCTATTGATATCCTGAAATAGGGAAAAAAACACCTTTAAAAGTCTAGATCTGGGCCAGATGGAGACTTAACAAAATATCAGAGCAAAACCAGTAAACAATCCTTCAAAGAGGGTTGTGAATTCATCTCACACAGGAGGTCTAATAGTTTAATACCTTGTTCAGAATAATTCTGCTTGGACTTCTTGACAGGCCTCAGTCACACCAGTCAGTCATGTTATTTAATGGGATATAACACATCATTGGTTCTGGAGTAAAATAAGGGGATTTTCCTCCCTTGTGAGTGGTATTAGGGTTATATATAATGCCTCGAGTGATTAAGATTTAATTTTATTTTTCTGGAAAAAAAAAAAGTGTGTTTGTTTTTTGGTTTGTTTTTTTTCAGTGAGTAACCACAGGCATATTTTTTTATTTCAGGCTGAAAGTCTTGCCTTTCATTCTATAAAATGCTTTCTTCCAGCATTAACACAGCTGCCAGGTGTGACTTACCATATCTGTATCATTCATTATCTCTATCCCTCTGTCATGTCTCCTCTCCAAACTTGCAGTCCAGGTACTTTATTGTCTCCTTCCACATAAGGCTAAGTCCTGATCATCTCTAATCTGCTTGCCAGCTGCTCCACTGCTGTTTCTGCCATGTCTTTTTTGAGATAGGTTGGTGAGCACTGAACACAGTCTTCCAGGTGAGGGAGTACTAATACTTTGTGTATTTTCTTTGTTTCCCACTGTACTGCCACACCTTTTGGTTTTTTGTTTTTTTGGTTGGTTTGTTTTGTTTTGGGTTTTTTTTCTGGATGCTGATGTTTATTGAGGAGCATTTCCTGCTTATTTTTTTGTGTTTTTTTCATAACACTACTCTGAGCATGATGGTCTATAAAAAATGGTCTATATCAGATGTATAAGGAGAGCAATAAGCAAACATGGAAGGCAAAGGTATGGGGATTAATTTAGGAAACTGTACACATGGATTTATCTACTAGTTAATTTTTAAGTAGCACTCACAGTTTTGTGTATGATTGTTGTATGATTGTCTTGCATGTCATCATATACTTTTTTGTTGACGGATTTTGTTGCATTAATGACATTACACACTACTAATACAGTTCATTTTTAGGGTTGTTTGGAATTCTTTTAATCTGAGTATCCAGAAAAAAAAAAAAAGTTTGTTTTTCAGTTTTTTTTTATTCCTCATTTCAGACAGATACATCATCATTGGCAGCCATCACAGCAGTTTGCAGGGCCATGGTGGGCAAGGCTGGGCCAGCAGCACTGCTGTGATCACAGCCCTGCTCCAAGCCCTGATGCCAGAGGTGAGGAGGGGCTGGAGGCCTGACAGGACCCTGCTCTTCTGCTCGTGGGGAGGAACAGCCCTGGGGAACGTCGGCTCCTACGAGTGGGCTGAGGTAAAACTGCTCTCGCTGCACGGAGCGTTCCTTCTGCTGAACATGGGAAATGACCACGTGGGAATTGTGGCTCATTAGCTGCCCTCTGAGGTCTGTCTGTGTTCATTCATGTACTGCACAGCCAGTCCAGGGTAATTGAGGCATTCCTGGGCTAATGAGGTGCCAGGATGTTGCCATGGCTGGGGAGGTTGCACGTACAGCACCCTTGGGAGCTGCTTTCCCTCCCTGGTGCTGCACAGCTTTGTGAAAGGGCATTGACAGGGTTTGACAGAGGGAGGAAAACCTCAAAAAACAGCACAGGCACAGAAAGAGCTTAGAAAGCTTTTTCGCCTTCTTGAGGGTTTAATATTTAATAATTTTTCATCTATTGGCTTAGTGTGAAGAGAAGTGAATCAAGAGAGAAAAAAGAGAACCGTGCTATGGTTCACATGAATTAAATAAACCTAGCAGTGTCTCCATGGCTAGTGCTGATTCACTTCTCACAGGTCTGTGCTGAGGAGCTGGACACAGTCCCAGACAGACAATTCCTTGGGCTCTTACTATCAACAGAATGGGAATCAGCTGGTTGAAAGAAAATACCTCAAAAAGTATTGATGATCATACATGGCTAAAGTAGACTTCAGGTCATAAAGGAGTTGCTACTCTTCTAGGCAGAGAATTTCATGGCCTCTTTTCCAACTCTAATGGTTCAATGAATTAAAACAGTAGATAAAATAAAGAGTTAATTGCTTTTTACCATGCATAAGAAGCAGCTAGCCCTCATTGAGATTTCATACTTCCAACATGATTATTCTTCAGAAACAAGAGGGGGTGAAAAAATCAAATTGAAAAGATCCAGGCTGGAAGCAAAATTTGTTTAGTTCCACTTCAAGTCAGCTTTGCATCAGATGTAATTGCGTTACACCCCTTCTGTTCAATATAAAGAGCCACTTCATGCAAAGAGGAACTCATTACTGAGAAGGCAAAGGGGATCCTTTTAAAAAAGAGATAATAATTGAAACAGTTTGTACATGCTATTTTTATAGTCTAAAAAAATAATAAAATGAAAACACTGGGAAAGTTATGCAATTCAAATCTGAGTTTTGTCTCTGAATGCTTGAGTCCATTTAACTGTTGATAATGATTGCTTTTGAAGTTTGTCTTCTGTAAGGCATAAGTTTAAAAGGCCATCATGTTGTTTCACAGTGTGTAATGTTTGCATTTTTGACCTTACAAGTGTAGTAATTTTTAATTCCTCCCAGACCTGTTTGCATTTTCTTTAGATGATGTGTGAAATGGAATTATAACTTCTGCTATAGAGAGAAATAGCACTGAGAGATCCTTTGAAGTTTACAAGAGCATATTGTGAGATGCAGTAGTTAACTAATACTCGAGGAATCACAGAGGATGGAAATGTAGGGTGCAGTTTTCCCCTAGAAGCAACCAAAAGAACAAAACCAGCCTTAATTATAATGATGCAGGGTAGTAACCATTTTTATGCTTGTGTTGTAGGATCTCAGGAGCATTCTTCAAAGAAATGTTGTGGCCTACATCAGCCTCCATAATCCAGTCACAGGCAACTCAACCTTACGGCCCGTGGCATCCCCTTCTCTTCAGCAGCTGGCAGCAGAGGTTAGAAATAAAATATTTGGTTTCACCTGTAGTTTATGAGGTTACATGGTTGAGATCAGTTGACATTACACAGCAATAGGTCGTTATTTCATTTAAGAATTTTAACCTCACAGATACACATGAACTGGTTTGGGTTTTTTTTTAAGTAAACAGGGTAAATTTTATTTTAAAAAATAATAGATTGAGAGGTTGGAAGGAATAGCTTGTTTCACCTGTTTGTTAGACAAGGTCTGAGCATACTTGCATGCCCTACAGCTTTTTTACCTTTTGGCAGCTTTAAAGTAACATATTTGTTATTCTTCAGCACAGAGCACATTTTTCTCATCCTAATCAGGTCTTTCCAGACTGTTTCTCAGTTTGCATTTAAACCTGTATATTTACCAGATGTAACATGACACACAGGGAGAGTGTTGCTCCTACCATAATAAATTCTGTCTGAAGTGAGTATGTCAGGTTCAGTGCTCAGCCATGCCTGTGCAGCTCATCTGGAGTCAGAACATTCCACATCTGTAAGGGCACACAGGCCTTCAGCTAATGACCCCACTGCTGCTCCTGAGCTTTCTGAATTTGTCAATATTTTACATGAATGGAAAATGGTGTAAGGCACGTTCTAAAACTACAAAACCAGTGTGAAATGGTATGCATAAAATGGAGTTCAATTTCACTTCCATAAATTATGTTTTTAGATGTATTTTTCTGTATGTTTGCCAAATGAATACTTACTCTGATGTTTATTTGACTTGCCTCTGAAGCATTTGGTAAAAAACACTCCTCAAAGCTGCATCTTGGATTAAATGCAGTTTAAGACTGATCTGGCTTGGCAATTGTTCAACTAAGTTAGTAAAATGATATCAGTAAATTGCTTCTTAGCAATGTCTTAAGCACTTCTCCTGTTCAGTGTCTAAGTGGTAATTTCTTCATGGAAAGAATTTATTATTTATGATTTATTCTCTGTAAGTATTATGAAAACTGTGAGGCAACATCATTTCAGAGGAAAAAAAGCTTCCATTTGTGGAAAATTATTTATATATGTGAGTCTGCAGGTGTTATGGATATGTCAATTCAAATTTTGTTAGCAGTTTTAGCTATTGTATTTGTAAGAAATACTACCCTGAAAAGTTGCTAGCCTTTTGCTAACCTAGTGGTGTTGGCAGTTCTATCTCCATTAAAACAAGAATTTGCCATTTAGGGGAGTAAGTTTATTATTATCCTTGAGCTATTTGTTTTTTTCTCATTTTATTTCTTTGTCTGTACAACACAATCTATGACAGTGATCTGAAAACTAAATTGTCTGGAGCTTTGCAGCAGTCTCTTTATTATCTATCAGTTTATTAAGACTCAATTTTTTCATCCTAATAAATGCCATATTAGTATGAGCATTACATTCATGCCCTCTGTTTTGAAAAGGAAGCAAACTTCTGTTTATTTCTGTGGTGTTAAATAATATTTTGTAATTCTTGTAATAGCAGTTGTGTTCTGTTCAGGAGTATGGAAGGAGCCCCTCTTAGCAGCCTTGCCTTGCACCTGTTAATTAATAAAACGTGACTAGAATGTCTTTTTTTCTTTTTTTTTTTTTTTAAGTCCCAGTAAATACCTTCCATCTCACTTCTGATTCTTTAATTTTGAGAGTGCATCCCGTCTTCATGGTTATCCTAAAGCCCCATTTAAAAAGTGAAGGATAAAATGCATGTGAGCATTTTATCTGTATGGCTTTCCTTTCTGTAGGATATTAGTATTTGTAATTAAAATAACTGTCATACAGTTTGTGGCATTAAAAAGATTTATAGGAGTTATTGCTTCCAAATGCTGGCTAGATTTCTGAATTCATATCAAATTACTGACAGTGATGGAGCAGCCAAGCACAGATCCTGGTGTGTTCCCATGGGCACTCACAGTTTGCCATGTGTCCAGGAGATTTTCTCTGGAAGACTGATCTGCTTATAAAGAATATTGATATTACTTCCAGCACTTGCCAGGAAGACAATGTAATTACAGATTACCTGTAAGTTATGACACTGCAAATGGGCTGAGATGTGACTTTTTGGAGCTCATCTCATCTTGAAGAAATTGTGAGTCTGTTCACATGAGATTCTTGCTACCAGGTGCGAGTTGCAGAGCTTAAAAGTTCTAATGAGAGAAGAGGATAATTTTAATTTTTGTGAGCTCTGAATATAGGTTAGAACAGAAAAGAATGATTTAGAATTAATGATATCAGTCCATTTTAAAATTAAAAGATAGATTAGCCTGTCTTGTTTAGTTGGATAGAAGTTTTCCATAATTTGTGAATACATGGAAGATCTTGAACTGTGCCTATGGATTCAATGGTAGAACTCATAATTTTTGTAAGTCCATTTTTAGCCCACAACAAAAGAAACTGTCAGGCATTATTTTTCCTTCTATTGCTAAACAGGGTTGTAACATTGTTTGCAGCTAAGGGAGACTGAAATCTCACCATTTTTTGGGTTTTGTTCAGTGCTCACTGTAGTGCTAAAGTTGTGTGTGAAAGAGAGGGAGAATGTATTCTTAGGGAAAATTAATTTATGTTAGAAAAGCCTACAGAGTATAAATGCTAGGATCCTGGGGATAACAATGAAAAAAAACAAACCTGTAGTTCATCCTGTGAAAGAGAACACAAGTAATAATCACACTAAGTGCAGAGCACTCTGTGGATGCTGCAAGGAACATAATTTAAAAAGAACTGTGGGAAAATAGCAAACTAAGATGGGCCAATGCACACAGCAGTGTTTGCTTTCTCTCTTGTTTTTTAAAATAAAATAAAATATTGGACAATTGCTAATCACTGCAGCTTCCACAATATCTTTTTCCCCTTAATTTCTGGGAAAATTAGGAAAGAAGTTTTAGCTGAAATAATATTTGTAAGGATTTTCTAACATCAACAATGAAAAGAAGAATCAGGAAACCTAATAACTTGTCTGCTATGTGAGGTCTGGCAATCAGAGAATAGAATAAGTGCTTGGCTAATTACCAGAGACCATGTTTCTTAAAGAATGGTTTGTATAAAGGGATTATATCTTCATATTAGTTGCAGGTTTCAAAAGGGAGTTTCATAAGCAGACTGCAAATAATAATTTTATATGCCTGTCTGTGGGATTCTGGTTGAAACACCAAATTACACGAAGAAGCGAATTTAAATATTTGGATTAATTAAGCAAAGAGGAACTCAAACAGTTCTGAGACCTTGACATATTTAATTCAAATATTTTTTATATAACTAATTAGTGTCCACATTAACAAGAGGGAAGGACTGCCAAGTTATATTTTTGTCTACTGTTATTTTGTACAGAAAATGATGGTTAATTCGCTTGCTCAGTTGGTGAATCAGCATTTGTTGGCAGAGTGTCATTGGTAAATTGGGTTTGTTCAAGGCTGGGATTCATTCTCTGTAAATAAGGCCATTAATGATTTTTTCTATAATGGACATGTCACAAAGAAAAAAAAGTTATTATGAACCATAAATTCATTGCTGTTGTCTTTTAACTGATTGTGTGACCATCAGACTCCAAGTCTGCTGTTACTGCTGAGCCCAACAGAACTTACTGCTCCTGTCTCCCCAGGAAAGGAGTGATTTACAGCTATTGATGAACGAGTTGATCATTAAAAATGACTGTGCCAAGTATTGTTCCATGCTATATATAAGTATTTGTTTCCACTAATGGAGCAAAAGGCTTAAAACATCTCTACATTTAAAGCTGGTGTTATTGACAGAAAGTTCTTTTTTCTTTATGAAGTAGAGCCAAAGATAAACTTCTGCATAGATGTTACTATCATTATTTCTTTATTTAAAAAAAATAAAATCTTACATTAATGTCAGCATCAATTCTCTTCTTCCAGCTTCTATGTGTTTCTCATTTTTTTAAGATTGTCAGCATTAATAGGGAATCTCCTAGTGTCATATATCAGTAGTTGTAAATAAGAAAAACATGATTATTTGAATTGCTTGTTCTATGTCTTATAACAGAAGACTATTGCTTCCCCACGAGCTTTCAGTCTTTACCAATTATCACTTTTAGTGTGAGATTTGATTGCTGGTTTTACTTTTTATGTTTGTGTTGAGAGCAAAGGAAAATCTCTTTGAGAATCAGAAGTTTATGCTGCAAACTTCTATCTCAGGAATCCCTAACTGTGTTAGAATGATGCTGTTAATATAATTGGCAATACTTCATTGACAGTTCTATTAAATTAATTAAGATGCTGCTTCTCCAGTGTGAAATGTTTCATTTAATGAGGGATTTGATTTGCAGGAGGTTTTGTTTGCATCTTTTGGCCACTTTTTCCTTTTCATAAAATGCTGCTTTGTCCACTGTTACATATTTTTTCACTCTTCAAAATAGAATAATTTTATTACTTTAATGACAATTCAGACAGTGAGTAATTTAACCTACTCATATATTTTGCTGTTATGAAAATACTATTAATGTCAAATGTGGAGAAAAGAGTTTGTTAGAAAAGCATAATGTAATAATGAATGAGTTTTCCAGCTGTGTTCTTACTGGAGAAAAATTCCTTTGTTCCTGATGACTCAAGCTTTCTGCTTCCATGTCCTTCCTTGTATTTACATAGATTTCTAATAGAGATGTAAATGATGTATATTTTCAGAAAGGTTTTCTTGGTTTGAAATGTAAATGTCTATTTGAATAGCCCTTGTGGATGAAACTGAACAAATCTGAATATTTTATTACATTCAGGTGTGGTACTGGAGTAGGTAAGCAATTCCTTTTCTGCTGCAAAAATGGGGTTTGGTTTAAGTTTTCTATTGGCCAATTGAGTTAATATTGTCTCATATAATGAGCTGTACCATGTAAGGGAATTGCTTTTCCCTTCCAAACACTTTAGCCAGACTACAGTATTAGAAAAATTAACTTCACTTCTGTCTAAATACTCTTTTGTTTAATTTCATCTTGATTATTTCCCTTCAGAACTGACTTTTTCATGATAATAGAAAGATGTTTTCTTAGCGATAGAAAAACCTTTCAAGTAGA